AAAGGAAATATCCTCAAGATCCATTTACAAGACAATAGGGAATTATGCTTTGTTCATAAAATGGAATTCCACACAATGATGAAAATTAATGTATTAGAGCTGCACCTAACAATAAGAAGTCTTCTGACAAGCACAAATTGAGTGAAAAAATTATATAAGAATAAATACAATATGATTCTATTTATATAAAGTTTGAAAACATGCAAAACTACTATGATTCACAGATACATAGGAATGTATAAGCCATGGAATAATAAACAAGAAACTCAGAATAGCGGTTACTTCTGTGGAGAGAGGAAGGAAATTTGTTGGACAGGGTTATGACGAGGGTTTCAACTGTATCTGTGATATTTTATTTCTTTTTCCTACTTCAGATTTCTTTCTTTTCTATTTTGAGATATGTATTAGTTTCCTAGGGCTGCCATAACAAAGTACCACAAACTAGGTAGCTTAGAACAACAGAAATTTATTTTCCCATAGTTCTAACGGCCAGAAGTTCAACATCAAGATGTCCCAGAATCCCTGTGAGACACTGAGTAGAATCCCTCCTTGCCTCCTCTGAGCTCCTGGTGAGGCCCTAAATTCTTGGCACTCCTTGTCTTGCAGCTTGGAACATGACTCCAATCTCTGCCTCTCTTGTCACATGGTATTCTCACTGTGTCTCTGACTTCCCCTCTTTTTATAAGGACACTAGTCATTTTGGGTTAAGGGCCCATCCTACTTCAGTATGACCTCGTCTTAACTAATTACATCTGCAGTGACCCTATTCCAAAACGAGGTCATTCTGAAACACTGGAAGTTAGTACTCTAACATATCTTTTATTTACTTTTTTTTGGGGGGGGGGAACAATTCAATTCACAATAAACATGAAGTGAAATATACAGTTCTTAAATGTGTTATTTTAATGAGTTTTGACAAATGCATATACCCACTTGTACTAATTTTCTATTCATCTTGTAACAAATTACCACAAACAGTAGCCTTAAACAACACAAATTTATTATTTTATGCTTCTGTAGGTCAGAAGTCTGACATAGGTCTCACTG